TGAACACAAATTAGTTAGCATAAATAAGTTAAATGATGAAAAATTAGGTGTCTATTTACTTGTGACCACTCAGTGTACAGTTTACAAAAAAGGTGCATGCGCAGAATTCAAAGAACTTGCGTGCGTAGTATTTTGAATTTTGAGCGTGAAAATTCTAAGCAAAATTACATCTATTACATAAAAATTACAAATCATGAAAAGATTAAACAGATATCAATTAAAATTTAAATACAAAATGGAAAAATTTAAATCTATATGAAAGAAAAGCGTTCATTTAAACCCAATGGTTGTACGTTACCTTTGAATTATGCGCATACACCTTTGTTGTAAACTGTACGATCTGACGAAGAGCACTAGCTCCAAATATCATCCTTTCTTTGATAAAAAACTTGGCTATTGTTCAAACAATTATTTAATTTTAAATTTAGTTGTTCATCTGTTGTTGCTGTTCAACAAAATGGAGTAAATATCAGCTTTTTTCGATAATTTAATTTCGATTATTCTTTCATTTCCTATACGTCCACCAGAAGACGCTCCTAAAAATCAATAACCTTTATCTACAACTAGCCCACATGAAGTAACGCTATTTTCCTGTATTTTTAATATATTCATGACTAGCTATAGATTCGTAATAGCGGCCATATTCTGTAGTTTCTGAGGAGAAAATATTCGCATATAAAAGTCTTTTCAGTGTTGAACTGTATAGTATGGTTGATCGCATCTTGCTTATTGCTCCGAAGTTAGATGCAGTAAGACGTTTACATCACTCTTCTTTCCAATCAAAACTTTCAGCTTGTTTTCGTGTTCTTTTCTCTAGGTGTTGCTATCAGTTAAGTGCAGTTCTTTATAATGTCTTCTTTCCTCCTGGTCAGCATCTCTTCACACATATCTGGCTGTTGAGTTTGTGGACCATAGTTAGAATATCCCTGATGTTCCTTTCTAGACTAGGCACCTTTCTGTTAAATGGCCTTAATAAAGTTTCTTCTGCATGGAGCCATTTTCCTTTCCAATTTAGAAACGTACTTCTTTACAACAATGAAAGGACTTTTAAGAGTGGATCTTTTCAAGTGCCACAAAATTCCATGATGGTAAAATAGGCCTGCCTTGTATGTCTCTGTTCTGTTTGTAGTTGCATCAGTTAAAAATCTACTGGATTTCCTTACCAAATACTCACAGCATCCAATATTTTTGCCAGTAATGGCTTTGGTAGTTTTACAGACATGTTTTCTTCAGTAATTCGTTGGCAATATGCTATACTACATTTCCTGTGGCCACCAAGATTGTTTAGTAGTTGTTTTCTCAGTTCTTTCGCTGAACCCCGATTTTTTTTTATTCCGCGTGATTGTTGCTCTAACAAATATTTTAATTTTAGGATTCTATTTTTTGTAAGATAACGAGAAATCTCTGCGGTTTCCTTTGCCAAGTCAAATAACAACTTTGTATAGTATTTAACAGCATGGTATGCACATTCCAATTTTTCGACTGCTCTTCCATAAGGGCATTTTTCTAAGATGGATTTATAGACATTTGATTCTCCGTCTCCTGTTGGTTTTTCGTATCTCAGTCTATGTTTGAGATCATTACATAGAAATCCCTCAATGATTATAGCCTACTTTATTCCAGTTACTCGAAAATGCATGCCATTTTAGAGATTCACTGTGTATGGCTGCGAAACTTGTTGCGGATACCTAATAAAATATTTTTAGTACATTGGCCAATGATGACTCTCGAGTTGGCAATGAATCTTAAATTCATTAAAGTTACAGATAAGCATCTAAAGACACCATCAGATCAAACAACAACTACCTAACAATAGTACATAAGAAGTTAATGTATTAGTTTGACAACTAGTCACATGGAACGGGGGAAATAAACCACAAAACAAATGTCTTTTAAGTGAAAATTGAAAGAACATGTTGCCAAGAACTGCAAGCAGAAGCCTGTATGGAAATAAGAACTCCTCCAGAGGATGAAAGAAAAAGGGAACTGTTATGGGGAAAATAACCATTACAGCTAAGACTCCGATGATTCAACAAAATATTTCAATGAGGAAAACTCTCTTCACTGTCAAGTGTTAAAAAGTGAAAATACGGAAAATCAACTTATTCATTAATGTGTATTAGAAACAAGAACAGTTATAATGGTCACGTGTTATTAAAGAACTTGTTTGTTTGTTGTTAAGTAGAAAGCTAAACAATGAAGTATCTGTGATCTGGCCACTGCAGGTATCGAAACCTGATATTTAGTGCTTTTTAAAGTAGTTCGTTTGTTTGTTGTGTTAGAGAAAAGCCACATTGGCCTATTTGCCGTGTCTACGGCGGGGAATCAGACGCCGGGTTGTAGCGTTGTAATTCCATAAACATACCGCTCACCCATCGGGAAACTTAAAAATAGTTCCAACTTGTAGTTAAAATTATTACAAACAAACACAATCTTGAACGCTATATTAAATACACAAGAAGGCAAAGTTCGGTTTAAATCCTTCTAAAAAGGATCTTTTCGTTTTATATGTATCAAACATACTGATAGTGTTACTACGACAAATAAAAAATAGTCAACTAATGACGTAACAGTCGGTTTCACATTTATTTATCAACGGAGATGATAAATATTAAACTTTAAATAAAAGTGATGATAAAGTGAGAAACATTAACTGTATAATGTTGAATATTTATTGGTAGTGGAAAGTTGTGGCCCAAAACGTTAAATAGTGAACTCACTTATAATGATGGTAATGAACTAAATAAATAGGTGTAAGAGTGAGTTAGAAATTGTATGAACACGGAAAGGAATGAAAAAATAAATTTAATTGGAAAAATTGACACCTTAGAGAAAGGTGTTGCTAAAGGTAAAAATTTAGCGCGCACAAACTTTTTTCAAACACAAAGACAATAGAGTAATTAAATTATTTGTAACTAGCTGGAGTACCCGTCCCCTGTCCAGAAGTTATGTAAATTCATGATTAATGAAACGTTATCTTAGGACATGAAAAGTTGCTTCCCTTATATGTAATTGTAAAAAAAACGCCCATAAAAACTGCAAAACACAAACTGTGAAACAAGTATATTTGCAAGTATCTCCGCATGGAGACTTCATGTCAAAACAAAATATCCTGTGATCACGGCACCAAAAGTTTCATATTTAATCTGTGGTATTTCCATATAAAAGTGAATAAAATAGTCCATACGATGACAAGAGATGAGACTTGGATATTTGATACAAAGAAAATATGAAACTAACTGTATATATTTATTAGGTAAAAGATAGTCATATTCACTGGAGAGATGAAAGTTATCGAATCTATAATAAACTTGTTCCAGACTTAAATTTGTATAAGTTGTTCTAGTGTGAGAAAATATCATATCATATATTTAAAACTATAACGTCATACATTCTCACAGCAGCTTATGTTAATCTTGTGACTGTTGTTCATTCCCTATAGAAAACAAAGCAGTTATGTCCCAAGGTATCACATGACCTACTAGTGGAAAAAAACGGCTGTCTACCTTCATATTTAATTTCACAACTACCTTCTCCACAGGTACAGGAGGTACCTCAGATGAATGCCACAGGTAGCATTTTCTGTCTTGACCACGCACACATCTCATTAAGCCAGATACTGAAGCAACCACAACATATATTTAATTAAGTTATCAAAATCACATTGTACCCTTTGCTCCACCTCAACTCAAAAACCATATTTAATAAATCACAACAAGTTCAACACTTTTGTTGCTTTATAGAAGATTTATTTTCGAGATAAAGGTATTTGAGAGTTAAACACTTGATAACATAGTTTTCCTCATTGAAATATTTTGTGTAAAAATAACTTCGGAGACTTTTTTTTATTTATAAAAAAAAGAAACAATGGATTGTTTTTCTTTAAGCCAGATACTGAAATCACAACACAAATTTAAGTAAGTTAGCAACATCACACGTAACCCTTAGCTCAATCACAACTTAAAAACTATATTTAATAATCCACTACAAATTCAACAGTGTAGTTGCTTTATGAAAATTTTATTTTCCAGATAAAGGTATTTGAGAGTTAAACATATCCCAAAAAGAAGGTAAACACGACAGATTCAGATTATTAGATTATAGGTAATATGTAGATGCCGGTCCTCGTCAGCTGTTAAGTGATCCGTTGAAGCTGTAAATATCAATAACATTAAAATAATTAAGTATTAATGTAAATTCACTTATAACAGAACCAATAACATTTCATTAAATATATCAGTCAAATTATTTAATATCATTGTGACGAAAAATATCAAAATACTAACTAATGTTCTTAGTTTCGTAGTCATAGAAATGAAAAGTTTAAAATATTTTCTTAAATAATATAAGTTAGTTTTCTTTGTTGGATTAAATGAAAGTTATTACTTCTCAAATATTTGTGTTTCATTATTTTAGTTCATTTCAAATTCTATATATGTACTGATTAATATTTCTCCATGTAATTACTATTCTGATTGTTCGCTTTGACATGTATCAATCTGTCTATACACTTTGATTTTATGTAATTTTATTATGATTCTTATATATCAATGTCCTTTAAACTATTTATCAGTTTGTTAGAGATATAAGACTAAATATTTTAATCTCCCTTCACCTACCGGTGATGTATTTTGCTGTTAGTTTCATTTGCCAAATAAATTTTCAAAAGTTAGAAGTTTCGAAAAGTTTTAAAAGTTAGTTTTACTTGAAAATTACATTCTTAGAAGTTGAAAAATTTTCAAACACCTCAGTTCTAGCTAAATCTTGATCTTTAGTCATAATATTTTAAATATAGGATACTTTATCAATCCAGGTAAAGGAATGTCGATTTTTATTAAGCGTCTTTTTGTCCTTTCTTTAGAAATAACGCGTTAAAAGTAAAATGTAAAGTGGAAACCTTGATAATATAACCATATAATTTCATAACATTAACAAATCTGGAAAATAAAAGATTAATTAAATTGTTAAACTTCTATACTACGAAAACAAAATAAATATCAAAACAATATTAACTAGATTAATTAATATTAATATTTATAATATACTGTTGAACGTGATAATATATTTTTACTGAAACTTATGATACATGAACAGTTACTACAAGTCTAACCGTTACATTATTTGAAAGTACAAACATTTTTAGATGTTATTGTAATTAATAATGTTTATACTCTGTTCAGTACAAAAGATGTTAATTTATTGCTAACATATTGTTATATTTTAACTTTATTAACTTACATCTTCAGAAACAGTTCTTAATCAGTTTAGTGAGTGTAGGTTCTGGATCTTCGTGAAGTTCTGAAAATTTCTCACCGATGCATTTCTTGAGTTTCTGTATTCATAGATGAATAAGAGTTACTGTTATTTGTGATATTGAAAGCTTTAACGTTCGTAAAATGTATTTGTTTAAAGCTTTAAAGTGAATTGTATTTCTAAGATAGATATATATAATATTGTTACGTCTCCGTTT